GCGCGGGAAAACCATTTCGTCGGCTACAACAACAATGAAGAGCCAAAAAACAAACAGACCACCGTTACCACGACTACAACAACAGTGAAGCCGCGTCACTCCCAATGCTCGACGGACTGGACAAGAAGTCTGCCGTCGACTACAACAACAAACACCTAAAAAGAACCCGTCCGCGACGGCAAACCCTCTGAAGCAATCCAGCGCGTAAGCGGAAGACGCAAGCGCTGTCAATCGACGATGGCGGAACACGACTTGAACGGGACAAACAGGCAGGCGGTAGGCAGGATCACATGTGTTTCATTCGCTCCGCCAGCGCATTGCGGAGCGCGTGAGCCTCGCACGTCGAAGTCAACATCGACACTGGCTGCGGGGGGCGATGAATCCCCAGGTCCACTCGACGCCTCACCCCGTTCACGTCGACCTCCCATAACAAATTCTCCTCGAACTCGATACTTGCATCAAGCAGGATGTTGTGGAGAATGAAGACTGCCGTGAACTGCTGCGGCAGACTGTCGAGGTTCGTCTTGTGCGTCCGCAGGAAGAGCCTCCACATCCCCTTCAACCTCCCGAACGCCCTCTCCACGGCCCCTCTTGCGACCTTCTGCTTCGTGTCGAACCTTTCCTCGTGCGGGTGCTGATTGATTCCTCCGTATGGCACCACTACCCATTCAGAAGGAGGATACCCGTTGTCGCCCAAGATGTATCCGTTCGTCCTCACCCCTCCCGACAGCGTGACAGACGGCCCACGAAACAGCAAGCCCTCTTCCGCGCGCCTCGACAGACTTGACAGCTGGATCACCCTAATGTCGTGGAGCTCCCCGGATATCCAACGAACACGTCAAGCACGCGCAGATCCAGGTCCACCACCACCTGCGCAATGACGGAGAAACGGTGCTTGCGGTCGAAGTAGCTCTCGGTCGGCGCGTTCGCCGGTTTGTCCACGTAGATGTGTGTCCAGTCAACTGCGCCATGGCAGTTTGGAAAGCCCTTGTCCAGAAACGCCCGTAGCACGACGTGTTTCTGCACCCCCGTCGGCCACGATATCTTGTCCCCGTACACCCTCAATGTAGCGGCTGTCACATCGTGCACGGCTCGAACTTCGGAAGTCCGGCCCATGCCGAAGGATGATGTGATGTTCTCGTAAGACTCTCCTGTAGCCCAACTATACAGCGCATACGAGACGATCTGCTCCGGCTGGAGTGGCTCCCTGTAAAACGTCACCTGCCGCTGCACATGAGGCGCACAGGCTTCGCTGATCTCCATGAACACTCTCCTGGACATGCGGAGCTTTTCCYGGAAGTARTCGTCTGTCGCGTCATCGCACACCCGCAAATCCTCCCAAGTCCCGCCAGCTCTCCGCCTCATCCACCAACGTGGCGTCGCCCGAGGAAGCAAACCGCACCCGATTGTAGCGCACAGCTGAACCACGGCCTCGGAAGTGGTGATGCAGTCCGGGGCGTCCAACACCCTCTGCAGCAGAAGCCTCTGCCGCCGCCTCGAATGCGCTGCCTTCTTGCGCCCGGCCGCACTCTCTACTTGGAAACGACGGACGACGGCAACCGCAGCCACCGGGACAGCTGTCTTCTCCGTCGTCGACAGCACAGCAGGGCCATCGCCATCGCATCCCTCCATTACGCCCTTCCAACACGAAAAACAACGTCCACCGCCACCCACCTGAGTGTACCTCTGCCACCACGATTGAAGACGCCTGCAACCAGGTCAGGACGACAGCCCGGCCCAACGATGTTCCGCCCCGATTGGAGCGTCCGCCCACCGCCGCTGAAGAACAGAACCGCCGCGCGCCTCCACGTGGCGCAACTGCCGATCGAACGTCTTCGTCTTGCCGCGTCGACCACACTTGAGACAGTGGCGGTGCGGCGCCACTGAAATACACAACGTGATGGCAACCGAAACCCTGCGAGGCATGGACTGCCCCCTGGCCGACCCACCTGTGCGCCGCCACCACGTCGCACCGCAAGAAGAAAATTCGAATTTCGAATTTCGAAAGGGGCTGTTCCCGCCTTGGCGATTTCCTTTTCCAGGGCCCGTGACGCTTTCCCGCCGTCCGCCTTTTGGACCACCATGCCTGCTACACGGACATCCCGAATCGGAGGCCGGACATGCCTCTCGGGGCTGTGTATAATCTCATGAAATTGGTCGCGGGAGGGCCCCGAGGATTCGTCCTCGGGGCGATTCTCTGAGGACAGGTGGAACGACACCTTCAAAAATAAAAAAAAAACTCCGAGGATTCGTCCTCGGAGCCCGAGGACGCGCTGAGGAGTGTCGAACGACGCCCTTTGTCTTCCTATACTCCTTTCTACCCACCTGCACAACTGAGGAAAAAAAAGAAGATTGTCAACTTTGTGTCGTCTACTATGATGGCCAAAAAATTCAGATATTATGAATGCTGCCTTCTCCCTGTAGTATGATCCAGCTCTCTTCTCTCCCTAATCGCACACTTTACCCTTCCAGGGGCTACCTCCACATTCACTCCATTGGCTTACGCCAATGCTTACCAGGCCATCTACCGTTCGCACCGCAACGGCGGCCATGGAGTCAGGTTCATGGAATCCGAGCAGCAGGCTTGTTAGCCCACTGTGGACCAGGCGCGAGGCCACCTCAGCCTGTGACTCGGCAGCGCCAAGCACCTCTGTCGGGCGCGCGTGCGCTAGGAGGATTGTCGGCGATCTCCCGGATTGGCTGGGGCGGTGTACTGGCGATTATTTCTCCTGCCGCTCTCTCTCATTTTCCTTGCATAAGTTGGATGAAATAAAATATAAACATTATGAGCAAATGGGGAAGCCAACACCTATTTCTCACCATACTGTTCCGAGCTATTTTGTTCCGGCACGGCGGCCAGTACGTGTCCCAGCCATTTCATTGCGACGTGGCTGTTCAACCACCACTCCCCCCACCCATCGGAAATTGGCTTCCCGGTGAGTCTTAGGGGACCCTGGGAACTGGTATCCATGAGGGGTGACGAGGCCAGCGGCAATCTATCGTGATTTTCTCAACCTCTCCACGAACACGTCCAAGATCAGGCATTGACTCCAGTCCTCTTCAAAAGTGGGACCTCGGCCGCAGGCATTGAGGACAGGGACAGGGTCCACATACCGTAGCAGCAGACGTCACAATCGCATCACATGCCCGCCAATTAACTGTCAGCTTTCTTGATGACGAATCTCCACGGTTGACAATCAGCTGGGTCCCATCCTGTTATGGGACGGTGGCCACGTTGGGGTTATGGCACGTTTCACATTTCGCGTGCACATCTCAGCTCTCTTGGCTGACCTGCGAGATTCCGCGCAAGCTCAACGACGTCATAACTTACTACTGCAGATTCAGATGACGACACGCGAAAGGGACAGCGCACTCAAGAGTTTCCTCAAGTACTGATTGTGCGAGGATCGTGGGGCATTTAAAAAAAAAAAAAAAAAAAAAGGAGCCTGGGGCATTAAACTGAGCCGTGTTCGCAGGGGTCCCCTGTAGTTATCACTGCATCTGGACACGCAGTTGTGCCAAATGCAGCTATAATGACTGGGTGTTCTATTCGGGTGAAGACACCCGGTAGTGACAATTTCAGCAAAAATGCGAGAAAAACGATAGAAGTGCCAGTTTGCCACACGGATTTCTTTCAACTTTTTGAAGATTTTTTATTTTTTGGGCTAGGACCCACTAGCCAAGTATTACCACGTGGAGGCTCATCGATGGTGTGGGATCTGGACGGCCAAGCGGCATCACTTTTGAGGTCGCCTTTCCCTCCAATCTGCAGCAAAGAAAAGAATAAGTTGCCATTTTGCAGTGGCCGGAAGTTGGACTTTCAAGGATTTGGAAGAAAGGGGGGGGGGGGTTGGGGGGGTTGTGACTTCGTTACAGTGTCTTTTTCGTTTTAAAAATCATGAAAAGAAATAAAAGTAGACACTTAGGTCCTCTTCGTGTTTTGTTCCAGGGATGCTGAGCAGCAAGTCTACCTGTGCTCAATGGAAGGGAACATAGTAAGGCCCTCCCACTCCGCTTTGCGTTTAGGGTCTCGTTTGCAAGCAAGGTTCACAATTGGAAACTGTTCCCAGTCGGGATTTTGGGCACAGTACATGCCTTCAAACAAGCCCGTGATGCACGGGTTCACAGCCTGTACTATCCCCCGTCCTTGTCTACTGGTAGCACTTTCTTTTTTGTTTAAACGTGATTTCCTCGTATTTTTTAAATACGGAAAATATTTGTCCTTCTCGTTTAAAAGCACAAAAAAGAGTCACACATCATATAATACTTCGCTGTGGGACGAGGCCCGTGGAAAGATCAGGACCTAATCTATGGGCCCTCCATTTTTTTTATTTTTTTATTTTTGGGAACATTATCCTTTTATATTGTAAGGGAACACTGGGCCCCGGGAACACACCCCAACAAAACAACCCGGCCATTACTCAGCTTTGTCCAGTGACCCTCTCTCCTAGTTCTCCCAAAATAGAAAAAACAGTAAGATACCAACAATCCTGAGTTTTTTTTTTTTTTTTTGTAACTACACTATGTTCTTCTCTCAAATTCTTTTTGCCTTTCACTACCTTCCTACCACTACTCCTAAGACTATATAGAGGGGACCCCTGCAAGCATAGGGCCTCGCAAACGAGGTAAATCATGTCGCCCCCCGCCCCAAGAGCGGTGGTCAGAGATGGGGTGGGGCCGCCGGTGGGGGTCCGGCTAACGCAAAGACCGAGCATTTTGCCAGTAGCTGCGCCTCCCTTTCTCATCGTCCCCCACCCCTCATTGAGTAGCAGCAGAGGCTATGGCCAACACTCTCCCACACACCACACACAACCCACTCGCGCTCGCACTCACACCCGTGTTGGTCTTAGACCCCACTAATACCGATCAGGGGTATCCACAGGACTATCACAATCCGTTGGCACCAAGTGTGCCACAGGCGGTCATGGGGCTTGAACCCACAACCTTCTGAATGCCACTTGTGTGCCTAACCAACTGAGCTAGTGTTCACAGACAGGGATTTATCTCTAATACTTATTCTAAATCACGGTGGGGAGCTGCAACGCTCCCCATGACCTGTTGGGGCGAGTAGCCAGGGCGCTATGCTATGCTTATCCTTCCGGTTGGATTCAGCTTTGCTAATCTGGACTCTCTCCCCCAAGTCTCCCACAACCATTTCATGCCTCCCTTCTGTGGTCTACGAAACCAGTCACTCAGGATTGTAGTTCTAATATCCTGTGTTATTCTGTTCTTTACTGCCTCGTCCCCCCTGTATTTCCAATTGAACAGAATTGTTTTTATCATCCCATATAACCTTCATAATGATCCCTCTGATAATTTGGGTTGTGTACGCCCATTTGTTTTCTTGTCTGTCTGCTGTGTTGTGGGTACCTGATACGATCCATTCTTCTGTCCATCTAAATTCCTTGTTCGTAATCCGGTCCCGGTGTTTGTTCGTAATCCAGTCCCGGTGTTTGATCCACCCGTCCCATATGCGTCTTGATGCTGGACACGTAAGCCACAGATGCCTGTTATTTTCCCACATCCACTTGCAGCGTACACAGCTTGCAGATATGTTCATTCCTTTCTTGAAGAGGCACACTGCTGAAGCTGTGGCTAAAAACAGTTGCAGCCGGAGCATACTCGCCAGTTTCTGAGAGGGCCCTCCATTTTTCAGATCTTTTGGCACGTTCTTCGGAGCGCGAAAAATTGCCGGTGTGATGTCAGTCGAGGCAGCACTTTGGGCCTCGCTCCACTACTCCGACAAGCACAAAAGACAAAAATCATGGCGGTGTATCTTTCCACGTTTGAGGGGAAGATTCATTACCGTTTGGACATGTGTCTTTTCTTTGGTTCTTTTTATGTGCGCACCATTGTTTTTTTTCCTTTTGCACATCCTGTGGTGCTTTGGGCCATGCTGCACTACTCCCATCATGCACAAAAGACTAAAATCATGGCTATGTATCTTTCCATGTTCTAGTGGAAGATATGCTCTCCCTTTGCACCACCCATAGTAGTTGATCTCCCCCCACGCTGATGGTCGCCGACCTTCCCCCATTTTCGGTCCTAACTCACCGGTATGGTGATTTTCAGCCGGTAAGGGGAGTGGTGGTCCTGGCATTGAAGTCGCCATCTATTGGTGGCAAGCAACACCTGCTGGAAATAGAGTTCAGGATCCCTGTACAACTCAAGAGTTTGCAAACAGATGTGTACTGTACCTAAACTGGCAGTGCCTTCTGCGAAAACTGTTTCCAAGTGCTATTCTGTGTCCCTGAGGACTGTGATTTCTATGTGAGAGCTAACCGCTACTGCCTTCTTTATTATCTGTTCCTGACCGCCATTAACCGCTTTGTACAGTACTCACATATTGCCACTGCCTTTCATGAAGTGTTCCGAACACCATTAACTATTTGTACCACTACCTGTTCGTATAACTACCTATTTGAATAACTGCCTATTTGTAAGAGCTGTGCATTGGAGCATACTGACACTCGTAGTACTTGGCCCATACATCGGCCACGGGCCCTTTTCGTATAGACACAACAACTTTAGGGGCCTCACTGCCGTTGATAATTTCATCAACGGGCATTTTCGCGCTTACGGCCTCTCAAACTCGCGGCGAGGGGCCCACAGCCGATGTATGGGGCAAGTACCGGACTGGTGGTGGATATGACCGTAGTTATGGCCCTACAGTCTTCACCCGAATACAACGTACGGTCATTATCACTGTATCTAAACGCAAAGTTGCCCCAAATACAGCTATAATGACGGTATGTTGTATTCGGGTGAAGACTGTAGTCGGATATCTCTGACCTTAATTTCATCCCGAAGATAAGTGGAAGAGTTCGTGTGTGAGTATGCCCTTAGTCTTGACTGCGGTTTGATAGCTCCAATCAGGTGTTCATCCGAGTATGCCCTGGGTCAGGCAACAGTGGGCTTTGTCAATTGGTGAGACCCCCATCGGTTTCTGTTTGAGAGTGAAGGAAAGAAATAGTCGGTTTATGTACCAGGGGGCAAAACTAGCCTGCCCAGAACGCACCTGTGCTCCTGCGGGCCAGGTGTACATGATGCCCTGTGACGCCCAACCTCACGCCCAGCGCAACTTCCTGATCGGAGTGGGGTGTGGGCCTGGAAGTGCGAAAAGGGGTGTGCCAAGGATTTTTGGGAAAGTGGGGGTGGAGTCCCAGGTCAAAACTGAGATCTCCTGTGGCAGAGTTGTTCGGGGGCACGGGTGCAATTTGGCAGAGAGGGCGGACCACTTCTGGTCATAAGGCAGATGGCATGCGCGGGTCATTTATGGTCGTGCGATCCATCTGTGTTGAGGACGGCGGTTCATCGGAAGATCCCTTCAGGGTGGGTGTGATCCTGAAGAGTCCGGTCGTCAGTTGTCGCCACGTTGCGCCGGTCGTCGTACATTCTGGTTGGGCCCTCGCGGTCCCAAGGCTCTCTGGTTGCCGCGTTGTCGGCAATTTCCGCAGGGCGTGCTGGGCCAGTAGGGGGCTATGGCTTTCCACGGGATGACCCTGAGTTGGTGATACGGGAGAAGAAGGCGGAAGGGAGGGAAGTTAGTGGAGATAACGACAAAGGCAGGGGAAATAAAGTAGTGTGTGGTCCACAGTGGGGAAATCAGAACACCGTGGATCGCTGGTTGTGGCACAGTGGAACTCCCTACGACACGGTCGGTTTTCAGTGAGGCAGGGGAACCTCTGTCGGAGCACTCCTCAATCCAAGGGGTGAAATACTCCGGGTCGTACGACGAATCTGAGCTCCGGGAGCGCGTCATTATGTCATCGTAGAGCCAAAAAAGTCCTAACGACGTGTCCTCATCGATTGCAATCACCGCTTGTGAATACGTGTAGGCTGCGCGAGTCGCGCTTACACGTGTTCACACGGGATGATTGTTTCGTTGCTGATGCGGAAGGGCCGCACCCAATCAGGCAATATCCCCGTAATCGTTAAGTTGTGAATCGACACGCGGGGACTCGTGTAAGTGCGCAGATCAGATCGCACCTACGCGTGGCCCTGTGCGGCATTCGCTGGTTTTCTGGGCAACCAGCTATCCGATCACCTAATCATTCCGTAATTTCCAAGTATGCAAGATGCAACAACCACAACAACTCGATCAGAAGATAAGCAAAGACGGAAACAACATTGATGACTACGCAAAATTCCTACCCTACTCTTGAGTCCATCAAGACAGTAAACAAAGTCAAGGATCAGCTAGAAAGACAAGCAAACAGACACGACATTCATTCATCCATTCATCCATTTACACACCATATCCGAGATGGGAAATCGCAAAGACAAGGGTGAGCAAAAAACCAAGTCCAGATTCCGAAAAACAGAAACAGGCAAATCGCCCTGATCCGAAATCAAAATTTATATACACCAGCAGAGAGGGAGAAAAGACAAAAGAAACAACAAATCCGCGTCTATCGACCTCAACTCCCTCTTCCTCTCCCTCTCTCTCTCTTTCTGATGGGGACAGTCCGTCGTCACGCACCAACCCACGAAGTCGTCACCCCGCTTAGTCCTCCCGCACCCGTCAGGTTCGCCCACGCCCACAGTCCGTCGTGGCCCGCGTCAACCCCGCGCGTTCGGCACCAGCTCGTCGGATCGCTCGACTCCCACTTCAACTCACCTCTTACTTCGCTCGTGAGCCGACCCTTCCTGATCGCGCTACCCTGAGCTTCCACTTAGCTGGTTATGAGAGCTAACTAATCGCGCAGCCGAAATTTATAGCGTGCATGCATGCGCGAAAAACACGGAATTACAAGGACTTAGAAAGAAGATTAGAGAGGGAGCGCCTGCGCTTTGCATGACCGGGCCGCGGCGTGGGGGATGTAGCCGCTGTCCATGCATCGATCCGATCATGCAGACCGCGGCTACCAAAACATAGCGAAAAGAAAGAGAAGAAGGGTAGGAAAGACGAAACACAAGAAGAAAGATACAGTTACAATGGCACCCGCCCAAAATTACAGTTACACACACGATTAAAGGCGCCGACTAATCAGAGTTCCGTTGCAGCCGCACGAAGAAGCGAGTAAGCAAAAAGCGTCGTGCGACAAAAAAAAATCCTAATTACAAAATTTCTAAATACCTATCTAATACAAAAAAAAGGCGAGAAGGCAGGAGCTCCGAAGGGAAAGTCCAAAATTCCGAGGGCCAACGAGGCTCGCCAAGATTCAAAAAGGAAAATTAAAAAAGAACGACGCAAAACTCCTGCGCGATGTCCATGCCTAAAAAATCCAAAACCGAAACAAAGGAAACGACGTCAGCTTTTGTTAATCGCGAACATGACAGCGCGCCAGCCATTCATCCGTCCAATCAACCGATCGTCCCGGGACACGCCCAGTTCCGAACCCAACCATCGAAAAAGGAGCCGACGAAAAAGACAAAGAAGCGAGGGTACCGATGCAATTTCCCATCCATCCCAGCTCCCGTAATTGGCCCATTTCTCCCAGCTTAGGATCCCTCATCGTTATCGCGCAGGAAATCGCGTAGTGCGGAAATCGGTTCGTCACATATGTGACGCCGAGGGGGTTCGAATATTAGCAAGTTCCTGCTTGCTTGTTGACACGTGTCGATTTCTCTAATCGATCGACACGCGGAACTCTTCCTTTTGTGCCACTTACCGTTCGAATGAGTGTGGACGTCGTCCAGTGTGGCAAACACAACTCTAACTAATTATTCCTCGGGAAGGGCCATTGATAATCCAAGGAGGGGATCACACGTGTCGTCACCGCGACACGTGTCAATCGAACATGCATCGGTGAGAAAAGGAGGGTAGATACTCTAAATCAGACGTTCCCGAGGAAAGGCGACCAGATCATTGATGCTGGTGGGGGCGGGTGGTTTTGGGGGAGAGGGGGCATGAATTGACTGATGGCGGGGGAGGCGAAGCCCAGAAGGGTAGCGTAGTGTAAGGAGCGATGGATGCGGGGAAAGCGAGGGTCTTCGTGAAGATGGCGAAAAGCGGCAATGTAGTCGGGGTAGATGGTAGAAAGGGTTCGACGCAAGGCGGCGCGAAAATCCTCATAGTCTTCGCAGGCGGGGATTGTTTCGGATATAACACAGTATATTTCTACGTGGTTATATTCATGCCAGTCTGTGCTAAACAAGAGCACATGAAGGAGGAAGGAATCGACTACAGAGCGGGTGGTGGCATGCGGATAGATGGAGACTAGAAGGCGAGTAGCGTAGAGATGGTAGAAAAGGTTGTGGGGGAAAGGGCACCATCCATCGGGGAACGGAGGTCTACCAGGGAGGTGGGTAAGCATGAGGTAGTCACAGGGTCGGCGAGAGAACGACCGAGGACGAAGCCCGAACGCCGAGATCTTGACGTAGACGAACGGAAGGTTGGGGTGTGGAGCCGGATGAAGCCGACGATTCGCTTCTTCTTCTTCTTCGCCGTCGCGATCCGCCTGCAGCGGTTCCATCGTCTTCTTCCTCTAGCGGCCCACGCCACGGATCTCCTATCGATGGATCGATAGGCGTTCCTTCCTTCACGGGCCGCTTTCCTTCCGCGTTTTCCTGTCGCTTTCGCTCCTTCTGGTCTTCCTCCTCTTCGTTCTGTTGCTGGCTCGACCTTTCCGCTATCCCTGCTTCTTTCTCCGGGACGTAGTCGGGGTCGTCCCGTCCCTCACTCGATAGTTCCTCCTCTTCTTCTTCTTCTTCCTCTTCCTGCGCCTCTTCCTGCGCCTCCCCTACCTCCTCGTTTTGCGCCTCGTTTCTTCGCGCGATCGGGTCCCATAACGTAAGATCGGTGACGTCGATTTCCAAATAGAGCGCTTGGGAGGGATAGAGACAGTTGTCCTCGTCGATCTCCGTACACGTGGACCACACCAAGTGCAGCTCGAGCGTCCGAGACAGCACGTGGGTGCCAGGCTGCTCGTCGCACCGCGATAAGATATCCAGGTGCAGATCATCCACCAGTTGGGTCAGGAACACCAACAGCTCGCTCGTGATCAGGACGACACCTCCCTCCTCCACCTTTTCAAATACGATCCCCAGTAGATCGCCTTCCTCTGCCGTCCTCCAGGCCTGGATGATTAGAAGCTCCACGTTGTCCTCTGGGTGCTCAGGCCCTTCTCCGAATGGCGCCAATTCTCACCAGCGGAACTCTATCTCCAACAAGCAGAAGACGAGTTCGATGTAGTCCTCCCACCACGCATCCCACTTTTCTTTTGTTCAATAGAGGCGCACTGGTCTCCTTAACACGATAGGAGAGAGTAGGGGCCCGCGCCGACTGCCAAAGAGTGGGGATGCAGGAGGGAAGGCCGAAGTAGGAGAGGCGGCGATGACTCGTTGGGGCGGCGCAAAGGGACGAAGCTCCGGCAGTACGATCGTCGGCGACCTGCGGGATGAGCAGAGCTGAAAGTCGGTGTCGTGTGCGGGCAAGACGATATCTCCCCGATGAGCAAGGAGTGTCGACCACGCCGTGCGCACTTCCTTGGCCCAGGCGCGCAGAGTCCGATAGATGTCGGGGTGAATCACCGAGGGAATCGCCGTGATATCCCCCTTGAAGACGATGACGACGGTGACGTGGCTGATCCCGGGAGGGGACGGTCGTCGAAAGGCCGAGATCTCGGCCAGAACGCTCGTAGTGGACACCTCCGTGAATCGGATCTCCGCCGGCTCGTGGATTGCCGCCGTGTTGAAGAAGGCTGCGAACCGCAGGAGATCAGCGCAGAGATGGGGCCGTTGCACCTGCCGGATGACGCTGATTCGGCCCCTCGGAGTAAGTAGCCGTGCATCGATCACTTGTTCCGTTGCAAAGCTCATGGTGATGGCGGGGACGAGGTACCTGAGAGAGAACGAGATGAGGAGGGGTGGACAGGCGATAAGCAGTCGTCGTCCTCTTCCGCAGCGGAAGAGGAGTCAGATGAAGGCGAAGATGGGGAAGAAGGAAGGGGACGTAGATAGGACACGTGGCGAATGATCGGTCGAGTCGATCGGCTGCTGGAGACCTCAGGCGCAAACCGCACGGTGTTCACGCCGTTTGGTCCAAGCTCAATCACGCGGAATCGCCCGAGGAATCGTGGCACTAGCTTACCCTGACGAGCACATTTCCTTACCTGCACGATGTCCCCCAATTTGTACTGGGGCCGTGGACCTGCGTTCCCATTTTGGGCCTTGTAGCTTCGGACCTGTCGGTCGTGAGCCAACTCGGTCATTTTCTAGCGTTTTCGGGCTAGCCTGGGGAGGGACCGTTCCATTAGCTCTAGGTGCCGCTTGGCCTTGTCCCGAACCGTGACCCTTGTGGGCCGCCGGTTCAGCGTTGACTCATCGGAAAGGCTCGGTATCGAAACGCAAGCGACCCTATTGGTCCTTAATTGGAAGGGGCTCAGGCCCGTCGATTCGTGAGGCGTTCCACGATGGACCGCCAGGATGTGGTCGACGATATCGGGCCAAGGCCTCGGATCCCGTGCCGCGATGTTTCATCGCAGCATTGTCTTTATCACCCTATTTGCGTTTTCTACCAGCCCGTTGGATTGTGACATGTGGGGCGCGGTATTCCGCACAGCGACACCGTGTATGACCAGATTCCTCAACACTTTCCCTCTGAACTCCGCCCCGTTATCGGTCAGGATCTCTTCTGTGTCCCGGTGCATCCCGAAAAAAACGGTTAACATACCGCGCGATTTCGGCGGCTTGCCGCGTGCATCGTGGGTAGGCCTCGATCCATTTCGAAAAATGGTCGACAAACACCAACAGGATCGAATACTCACAACTATTAGTACCATGGGGTACCACAATATCGGTAGTATCCATGCTTACCCTTTGAAAAGGCCGTTCAAATATCGTTGGTACTATCGATCTTGGCGGCTGGATCGGCGCCTTGTCAACAGCACAGACTTGGCAGTTTGCGACGATGAATTTCACATCGTCCCGAATATTGGACCAGTACCATTCATTTTTGTCGATTGTTGACTCTGTAATCCATACGGCAAAATGGGCTGCCGTTTCCTCGTGTGTTGTCTTTACCCTGTCATACCTCATGAACGGATGCGGTACAACCATCCAAATCCCACTACCGTCCGTTTTCCGCTTTTCTAACCTACCCTCGACCCATCGATAATCCCGAGCCCTTTCATTGGGCCTCCTTCAATCTTCCTTGGTGAAATCCTGGAGGGGGTTACCCACTAAGGTAGCAATCAGAGCGATATCAGTCCATACTTCAGCCCTTCTAAACTTCCGGGTCTTCTCCAACCCTTCTGGCGTGGCATCTAAAAAGCGAGCCTCGGTCGGGATCTTGTCAACCCGACACAAGGGGCACAACCACGGCTTACTGTCATTTATGTATTGGATGCACGAGCCATGGGCTCGTGCGACGCACTGTCGACAATCTACCCAATCCGCATAGTCTTCCCCGTTAGGACGCATGGAGACCGAGTACACATGAGAGATTGCTTCGCAAAAATAGCAAAATTTATCAGGCAGGGAAAGAAGAGATGAGGAGGAGAGGGGGGACAGAGGGGTTCTGGGATTACCTTCGTCACCCATTGCCACCGGTCTGCTTCTTGCCACGTGGGAGAACCGCCACTTGTCCGTACTTGGGCCCGTTCGCTGATTCTGGTTCCTTCCACGGAATGATCTATTCTGCCTTAGGTACTTTAGCTGGTCGATGCAGACGTGTCAGTCTGTCTGCGTTGCCGTGCCTCTCCGTCTTTCAATGGATGATGTCGAAGTCATACTCCTGTAGGCGCACTGCCCATCGTCCAATCATGCCCGTGTAATTGGTGAGTCTCTTTAGCGCTAACAGGGGTTCATGATCGGTGACAAGGAGGAACTTCTGTCCGTATAGATACGGATGGAAGTGTTGGATTCCCCATACTACCGCGTAGCATTCGCCTTGCGGAGCTGAGTCGTTCTTCCGCTCGTCTGGCACCGTTCGTGATTCATACTCGATAACGTGCTCTCGACCATCGTTCCCCTTCTGCGCTAAAATAGCGGAAATAGCCTCCGACTGCCAGTCCGTGATGAGAATGAACTGCTTCGAGGGGTCCGGCCGGATCAAAATAGGTGTTGTTGCTAAAACTTCCTTGAGGGTCGCGAAGGCCTGCTCGCACTCCGCGTCCCAACTGAGGGGCTGGTCCTTCTGTAACAGATTCGTTAAGGGTCGCGCAATCGCGGCGAAGCCCTTGATGAACCGTCGATAGTAGGAAGCCAGTCCCAAGAAGGCTCGGACCTGTGTTAGGGACGTGGGAACAGGAGCTTTCTTCACCGTCATGACCTTCCTTGAGTCAGGCCGCAGTCCTCCACGTGTCACGACGTACCCTAGGAACGAGATTTCCGAGAGAAAAAATTCATTTTTTTCGAGCGCAATCTTGAATCCGGCGTCTCGTAAGGCGCCCAGTGTCCATTCGATGTGTTGCACATGTCCATGATAGGTTTCCGAATAACCAAGATGTCGTTCATGTACACGATGACGCAGAAGTTGATCATCCATTGCGTGAGCCGCGTCTTGTTGACGAAGTTCTGGAACGTGATGTTCATAGCTCGTTGGAATGTGGCAGGCGCGTTACAAATTCCCATCGGACATCGAACCCACTGCCACGTGCCTTCAAACAATACGAAGGCCGTCTTTGGCCGATCTTCCTCCTTAACCAGAATGTGATGGACGCCATGCCGAATATCAAACTTGCTAAAATAATTAGCACACCCAATCGCATCCAACAAATCATCAATCCGGGGGAGGGGGTACACATCCTTGATCGTGATATCATTCAATTTATGATAATCGATGCATATGTGAATCGATCCGTTCTTCTTCGGTACTAATACTACCGGGAATGACCAAGGTCTAGTGGCAGGTTCGATCCAACCGCTTGCTTCGAATTCCTGAATCCGTTCGAGGGCCTTCTTCCGTTCTACCAGGGAGTACCGGTAGGGCTTGCAGTGTATTTCGTGTTGTATGAGCAACGACAAACCGATGTCAGTGTCTGTCATACTAATCGCTTCTTTATATTCTTTCAGAATATCCGCGATTAAATGATGGATCTCATCAGGCACATTTTCGGGTAAGTGCAACTCATATGCTTCACCCCATATTCTTACGTCAATGTGTTTGGTGTTGATCCGCTTAGTGTTCTCCGGCGGGGGCACAGAGATAAACGAGTTATCCGACCGCCAGGAAAACACCGTGGCCATCATCTGTGCATCCTGTTCTCGGATGGCCACGTGTTCTTCCGGCGTTACCCCGTGTCGAAGGTCTTGCCAGGGCACATGTTTGGTTGCGATCTTGATTCCGAGTCCATTTTCGAGGCGCTCAGGGGGTTCCAAAGAGTTGATCTTTGCCCCCAATCGTAACAATCGGACTTCTTTTGCGGGTGTCAACAGAGACTTCTTGAGGTCGGTGATGTCGCAGTAGTGTCTTTTGTCATTGTATCGGGCAAGAAGCGGGGAAATCGCTTCCTACAGGGTTTGAGGGGGTTCCAAAGACCATCCTGAAAATCTGTACGAGGGGTTCTCCCATAATCATTGTCTGTGTTCTCCGAAAATTTGGGTTAGTTTTGCTTGGAGCTTTGTCGTTCGTTCGCTGCACGGGGTAATAGATACGCTCTCGTGCCATTTCCAAAATTCCGGGGTCATCATCATCGTCACTACTTTCTGCGTTTTCGGACGTCTGTCCGTTATCCCAGGTGATCACACGGAGAGTCCCTGTCATTGCGGGGGAAACTTGTGGGGCTATATTAGCCGTGGTTCGCAAGGTCAGTCTCATCGGGACAACATAGGGTTTGCCTCCCGTATTTCGGAGGATAATCGACCGTCTTTCAAAGTCCAGATTAGCTCGCAATGGTACCAGGGCGGGAAGACCGAAAAGAACATCGTAAGTATTAACATCTAATACTACGACATCTCCCAAAGCATGCACCTTCCCTAATCGAAATGCAACATTGGTCATCCGTCCCACCGTTTTAATTTTTTTTTCGTCTGCGGAAACGAGCTGATCTCTTTTTGTGAGCATGATCAAGTCGTTCCTTCTTCTTGCTCTCTCCACCACTCGTAACGAAATAGCCAAAACAGTTGCTCCCGAATCGATAATTGCATCATACGGGAGTCCCCATACTTCAATATCGCATTCCGCGGATTTCCATGGGATGGGTTTAATCCGTAGGAAATGGTCATCTTTTTGCACCACTCCTATACGTATGGAATCGGAATTGCCTGCAGTATTCTCATCCGGTGTGGTTCCTTTCGCTTTCGTGTTTGTTGTTCGAGCAAGAGCGAATCGTTTTCGATCGGCTTTGCAGTGTTGCAACATTCGCTCGTTGACCTGTTCTGATATGGAAAACAGATGACCGATTGGAAGAGGAATTCGGTGGTCTAATGCTCGGATGATGTTCATAACATCGATCTCGCCAGTGACGAAGGTGGATCCTCCCGACTCAATCTCTACTAGAGAGGGTCGTCACCCCGCCACCTCTTTCTGTTCCGGTGCAGGTCTGATTGTTCCAATCATTCCTAGTCCTAGATATCCAAGCGATACATATTGATCCAACGGAATGAGCTCACCAGCCTCTTCCATAGTAGCTAGCGTACTACCTACGCCCTCCATTTCTTCCATCAGGGCTCCTACCCATCCGGGTCCGTTAGTGATTGGAGCCGCGACCATTGGAGCGACTCCGACCCTCGGTTGTGGGGGTCTATGGGGACAATCTGGAGCCGGGTTGATGGCATGCGTAACAAACGTTCAGATTATTCGCTGCCCCTCCGAGAACAGGTGTCGAGGCCAATCCTTGTTGGATCGGGGCGGCTCGTACTGCGATAGGTCGCATATTCCTCATCATAGCCTCCAACCGAGCATTATGCTCTCGTTGTTCTTTTTTGCTTTCTTGGATCAGACTAATTAGCGTTTAGGTGTTCAAATATGGTGGTCGATTCATTCGACCGTACGAGATTCTCGATTGGTGGTGGGGGTGCCGTCATTATAGGTGCTGGTATCACGGGGGCGGGCATGCCCGTAATCACACTAGGTGCTGGTCATTTGGGGGATATCTGTTCCATATAGGTAACAGGTACTGATACAAACCCCATATTTTCGAACTTGTTTTGCAACGCAGCCAGCTCAGCCCTTGCCCTCGAAAGCTCGAACGAGTCTCCTTCCTTAGGATAGTCTTCTCCTTCTAAGAAACTCGCCGCGAACTTCCGTTTCATCTCCTCTGCAACCAGGGATGTCACGCGGGGACCCCCGTGGGCGAAGCCGGGGTGGTGGTTGCCCCCCCGGAGCCCCGGGTCCGGGGTCCCCGACCACCGCCACCGGTCCCGACAACCCCGCCACCGCCCGACCCCGGCGACCCCCGCCACCAACCCCACTACACCGCCCCGGAACCCCGCAACACCGGCCCAGAACCCCGCCACATCGGCCCGGAACCCCGCAGCGAACCCCGTCCAGGCAACCCCGACCCCCGCCACCCCGGCGGGCCACCGCCGACGCTGTCCCCGCACTACACCACTGCTCCCCGCCCCGCGACCCTGCACCCCGACCCCCGGCGCCCTACCCCCGCCACCGGCGCCGCTACCCCGCAACCCCGGCCTGACCCCGGCCCCGCGCTCCGACCCCCGCCACTGGCCGACCAACCCCACGGCCCCGCACCACCGCACCCGCGGACCCCGCAACACTGCACCCCGCATCCCGTATCCCGCACCCGTTACCCCGCAGCCCCACATCCCGCACCCCGCAGCTCCGCATCCCGCACCCCGTTCCCCGCACCTGGCACCCCGCA